TCGATCTACATCATGACAGATGCATCAGCGGCCACAGGCACCACCGTGCAAGGGAGTATTCTGGGTATGGGCTACACCGATGGGTCAATCAAGGGACGGATCATGCCTGGGGTATCCTTGGTGTGTGGGCAACTGTCCGGTGTGCACAGCGCAATTGCCGTGTTGTGGAGCGCGTGGTTGATAGTTGGTGCTGCCGTTCGTTTTGTCAAATACTTGTTTGGCAGCGTCGCGAGCATTGCCACTCACATGGGCACCGAGCTGCAGTTATTAGAGATGCCCGACCTCGTGCCAGCATTCTGAGCCTGGATCAGAGGTCGCGGGTTTCATGCGCCTTCCCCGAAGGTCGATTCGCGCGCATCTCTTTTCAAGTTTGCCTTGCGCGTGCCAGGATGGGACCATCTCATGGGCAACTTGATGAACCAACTTTATAAGACGCACCTTCGATTGCTACAGATGCAAATGTTTCTGCGAAGCTGTTGCACTTTTTTAAGTATAAGGATCACTGGCGTCATCTGCAGCGCATGCAATCTCACGCAGGCTTGCCCCTCGGAGCGTTACTCAAGGAGTTCACTGCGCAGCTGGCCATATGGCGGTTCGAAACGCTACGCGACATCTTCGGTCAGCTGCGAGTGCTTCGCGAGGTATGCGAACGCCACATCCCGCCACAATTCTTTCCGGAGTCCTGGGGCAATGTGGGTGTGAGGTTCTGTGCTGCTTATCGCGACGCATATATTTGGAAAGTTGTCGATGCCCCTCGCGTCTACGTGACGCAGCCTTTGGAACGCATGCGACGATGGGAGATGAAGCGTAGTAGCCGCGGGGACAAACGCAGAGCTGGGGATCGCCATCCACGCGGCCCTCGGCGATGCTGTCGGCTGCAGAAAGCTCGCGGGCACGTTGCGCAGCGGCGGTCGCTCTTTCTGGACTCCCGTAACTCCGGATCCGCGCTACTTTCGGGAAAATCGTAAGCAGGGCTTGGAATTTCTGCTTTGCTTTTCGGGCCCCGCTGATGCCAATTTCCGCCCTGCTTTTCTGTTGCTGTTTCCGCCCTACCTCTGTGGATATCCGCCTTACTTTCTGTGGCGTGCAGCGGTTTCCGACCTACTTTCTCGGCTTCTTGTAGGTGGATTTCCGAAGCAATGTTAAGCTGGGGGAAAAAAAGCCAAAGTAGGGCGGATTTTGAGTCAGGGTCGGCCAAGCGCGGCATCGATCTGGCCGGGCGCGGCGGCGGCGCATGGTTTGACGCTGAACGTGGAGACAGTGGTCCGCGCTGCTGCCGTGGTCATCGACGTCGACTTCAAATCCTTGGGATCGCCTCCATGGGCGTTCGCGAACGCCTACGGGCAGGGCGGTGCCCGCGCGCGTTTGCGGCCGCCTGATGCCAGCTCGCGAGCGCGTCGACGCGCTGACCCAGCACGTCGGGGAGATGTTGCGGCGCGACTTGGAGGTCGTTGCCCGCGGCGGGGAGCGTGCGCCAGAGTTGCAGCGGCATGCGCGGAGGGTCGGCAACGCCAGCCTGGGCGAATCTGCAGGCGAGGGCTTCAACGGGAGCGCTCGCTAGGAGGCCGCCGGGGCGTCGGCTGCAGGGCCCCTGCGCGCCAGGCAGCATTCGCTCTCGCGTCGGGGCCTCGACCTAGCGAGGAGGATTGCAAGTCGCCATGGCAGGGCAGGCGTGGATTTGATCGAGCACGAGTGGGCTTCCTCATCCCGCCAGGGGGGGCGATCCTCTACTACGGCGCCGCCCATGCTGCTCCCGACGCGCGCGCCCGCCCCCCCCCCTCCGCCTCGGCCTGCTCGGCCACGGCCGCGGCGATCTGACCGCGCGCGCTGCTGTCTGCGAGGCTTTCTCGTACATCTTGCGAGCGCCCCCCCCGCCGCGGCCGGTCGCGCAGCGCTGGCGGGCGACGCGCTGCAACTCGTCACAAAAAACAGCGCGCCTTGCCTTCTCGATCGCGCGGTCGCCCCGAGCCGCGCGCGCAGCGGCGGGCTTTAACTTTGAGAGCTTCGCCGCCGAACGGCGACCAGAAGCGACCATGGACGGCGGCGTCGCCTGGTGTGCCGCGGGGCCCCTGCGCTTCATCCAGGCCATGCGCTCGCGCGCCTGGGGCGGGGGCGCGACTGCCGGGGCGCGCGTTCAGCGAGGGGGGGCGTCGGGCGCGGCAGGGCAGCAGCAGGAGGCCCAGGACAAGGGGCAGGCTGCGCAGGGTGCGAGAGATTTGGGGCCAAATCGGGCCGAAGGAATTTGGGTCGCATCCGGCCGAGGGATTCGGGGCCAAATCGGATGCAGTAGGCTACGCCCCCGCGCAGGACTCAGACCGCCCCCCGGCGGCGCGGAGGAGATCGGGGCGCGGCGGTCTGGGAGACCACGCCGTTGCGCTGGCCGTTTAACACGCGGGGGGGGCCCTCGGATCCCCGGGGCCCACCGCGCCCCACTTTGGAAGCCCCCTGGGACCTTGGAGCTTCGAGCAGCAGCGCCTTGGGCCGACTTCGCGGCGTGGCCCCGCTTGTAGTGCATCGTGCAGGTCCTATGCGTCCGCTGGTCACTCGTGATCGGCTTGTCGCAGATGGGGCGCATCATGGCATCTGCCTCCTCGGACTGGTTCTCGGGCCCGTGCTGGTCGCTGGGCACGCCGTCGCCCTCGTCGTCGCTCTGCGCCGCGAGGGGGCGGGGGCGCCCTCCTTCCCGCGCTGCTTCTTGGCCCGGCCAGCCGCGGCGGGCCTCTTCCTCGCCAGAAGACGCTCTTCGTCGGAGGGCGACGCCCTCGATGCCTGCTCGCACCTAGGGCGCTCGCGTCTCAACCTGCTGCGCCACATCCTCCGGCCGGACGGAGAGCCTGGTCTTCCCTGGGAAGGCAGCCTCGAAGGCACCCCCGCAGTGCTGTTTGGGCTGCAAATGAGGGGGGCGAAGCCCGACGCCAGGGCGAGGCGGGCGGGGCCAGCATCAGGGGGTCGAGGATTCGAGGAGGAGGAGGGGTCGAGGAAGGCCGTCCCCATCCAGGGTCACGGACATCCTGCATCTGAAACCTTCGGCCTGAAGTCAGGACGATGATGAGGAGGGGTCTTGAGGATTGGCGATGGGGATGAGAAGAAGCGCGTGCGCCCCACCGGCGCAGGAGAGAAAAGCGGCTCGTCCCAGCGACGAACAGCAGGAAAAGTGATGTCGAACGCGGCAAGCGTAATTACATCATTTGTATCAAGCAGATCAAGGAATCACTTGTTTATATTATGTTCATCCCCTTTCTATCCCCCGTCATGCCTTGTGCATCCCCTGCCCACCCCCTGCCATCCGCTGCCCATCCCCTATCATCCCCTGTGCATCCCTGCCTATCCCCTTTCGGGTTATGAACATCCCCTGTGCGTCCCGTGCCACCCCCTGCGCGCCCCCCTGCCATCCCCTGCGCCCCCCCCGCGCGCCCCCCGTTCATCCCCTGTCATCCCCTGTTTGCGCCGCGGCTAGACTGGGGATGTCAGTGTTCTCGGCCCTGTCTTCAAAAACTGCACTGCTGCATTCGCTCTAACTATCAAGACGCGCATGTTCCAAGTGCGCGCTGGTTTCTACCGGCGCAAAAGACAATCCAGAGGGGCGCGGATTGGCTGCGTGGAAAGGGGACGTGGGAGGACCAATGCGCAGACCACCGCGCTCGCAAGCAGGACCATGGACCATGCCATCATTCCAAACAGAGCAATTGAAACATATGGTTTTGCTCTTCAGACGAAGGGGGGGGGGGATTTTGCTTGGCTGCTGCTGACGCCAGCGTAGTCTGCCCTCGCGGGCTTGAGCTTCTGTTAAATATCAACGCAGCGTCAATTCCTGGTGTCCTACGGGGGGCCTGCGTTTTACACCGGATCTGGTAGTCTCCTCCCTGAGAGCAGCATCTCTCCAAACGCGAGAAGCGATCGGCTCGACGGGCGCGCGCCTGGCCGCGGACCTCGCGCTAGCGGCCCGTGTCTCTTCGCAGTTGGGGCGGCGGGGGCATTTGAACGCCGGCGCGGGGTGCGCGTGGCCCCACGGCGCCGCGGAGTCTTTGTTTGCAAAAATCTCGCCGCCGCCTTGCCGGCAACGGGGGGGCCGGCGCCGCTTGTTACCGCCGTCGCAGCTGCGGCGACGCCGACGCCTGCGGCGACTGCTTCATCGCTTACATCGGCTGGGCCAGACGGCAAAAGAAGGGGCGGGGGCGCGGGGGGGGGCGAGAAGCGGAGGCGGAAGATGGGGCTCTGCAGGCGCCGCGGGCACGGGCAGGGGCGTCGCCTCAAGCGCTGGCGCCGCGGAGCCGCCCGCAACCGCGAAATCGCCATCTTCGAGCGGTGCTGGGCGCGGGCGCCGGGGGATTTGCCCCCCCCTCGCATCCGAGATAGCCTCATGCTCTGCGCGTGAACGGCCCGGCTGGAAGGGGGCGCCGGGCAACGGCAACTTGCAGAATAACGCTGGCTGGAAGGGCGGCGCCGCGCCGCCTGCAAGGGCAATTTTGTTTTGGGAGGCAGATCTGCGTGGGGAACTTGGCGATGTGTCTTCCTGCGCCTCGCGGCCCTACGGTCAAACGCCTCGGGCGCCGCCGGATCGACAACATGAGCGACGCGCGCCTGTCGTTGCGCCCGACTCCAGGATCTCGACGGCGCGCGCATCCAGAACACCGGGGCGCGATCCCTAGTGATTGCCGTCCGTGGTAGCGCCTCCTCTGGATGGAACAGCTCCACGCGCGCCTCTGTCTCGCTCGGGCGAGCATCGTAGCTGCGCGCATCCGACCAAGCCTGGTAGAGGATTGCCCCCCTGGCGGGATTCCGTGGTTCGCGTCGCGCCCAGCCCGGCCCCGCTGGGGCCTCAGGGGGGGGGGGGGGGGGGGCGCGGCCTCAGGGCGCGGGGGCTTCGGCCCCCGGGTCTTCTTAATAGTGTTCGGGTGCGCCTGGAGTTGGATGCGCGGCGGGCTGGCGCGGCCGGGTTGGCGGGGACTTCTTCGGGGCTTTGCATTCTCAGCCGCTTTGATCCAAGTTGGGCGCGAACGATGAGGGCGCCACTGGCTGCAAGGTCCCTCTTCGGCCAGCCGGGCGAGGGCCCGGGGGCCCAGCGCCTCGGCGCCCCCGCGGCCCTGGCGAAGGCGACGGGCGCCAACCTGGAGATGAAGGCCGCGCTCGACGACGCGACGACGTGCAAACTGCCCTGCGACATCCCTAGCAAGCGGCGGGCGGCCGAGGCGCCGAGATGAAGGGCGCCTGCGCCGCGCCCCAGGGGCCCTCGTTGAGCGGGCCGAGCGCGAGAGGAAGTTTAAGGGGTGCGCGAAGGGGCAGAAAGGGCAAGGTCGCGAAGCTGCGCGAAGACCGCGGCACCTTCAGACGCGTCGCCGCCTGGGCCCCGGATATGCCATGCGCGGAGAAGGACGCGGGTGGCGGCGGCAAGACCGACGCGCTGTTCGGCGAGCCCGGCGCTGGCGCCCCGTGCCAGCCCGTCGAATTTGACTGCGTTTTCGACGGCGGCAAGATCGACGTTAACACCTCCGAAGACCCCGCGCGCTGGCGCAAGGAGCTGGCCGCGGTCGCGCGCCGAGAAGTCTCAGAACCTGATCAAGGAGAAGGACGAGATCTTACCCTCGCTCGCCGACTGCAGGTGGGCCCGCGCGAGCATCGTTCTGACCGAGGGGGGGCGACTACGAGGCGTTCGACTTCAATCCGGAAGATGCCGAGGTATGCAATGTAGACCCAGTTATGCCGTCAGTCCTGGCGATGCAGCGGGCAATGGTGACCGTCGTTGCAGGCCCCCCTGCCTGCGGCGTGCCTTCACTTCATCGGCATGATCGCGGGCCCCATCGTGATCGTCATCGTGGCCAGCGAGGCCGTCGGCCAGAACATCTTGTAGTTCCGCGATGGTGTAAACAGCGAGGTTTTGATCAAGGTACCGACTTTCTTGCTGAAGAAGGGGTGGTCGTTGCGGGCGCCGTTCGGGTGCGTTCCCGCAGTAGTGGTCGGCGTCGAGCCTGGGGATCTCTCGGACCGTGCTCTCGCAGCGGGGTCTTTTGGGGGTCGAGGTTATCCCCCCTCTTCCCCCTTGGCGTTGCGAGCCGGCGGGGTGCGTTCTTTCGTTGCGCAGGGCGCCCCCGTCGACTGCAAGTTCCCCACCCCTGAAACCCTGGGGCCCCTCGCGAAGCCCCGCGGCCGCCCCGCCGAAGCCCTGGCCCCCCCTGAAAACCCAGGGCAACGCCTCCAGAAGGTCGGAAGCGCATGCATCGGCCCCGCCTTCGTAGGACAGCAGCGTGTTCGAGCCCGGCTACAATCATGCTTCCAAGAGCTCAGCCACCAAGGACATGGGCGGCCCAGGGGTCGTCAGCTACATCCAGACATTCGCGCTGGACGCTTGTCTCAAGGGTGAAGACATTGATGTGCGCGCAGAAAAAAACTGGGTCAGTGACTCCGGGAATGCCTTCTCTTGGGTGGCAGCCTCGACAAGATCGAAGAGTCGACGGCGGCCATTATCTTGATCCGTCCTAGTGGGCCTTGCCGTGCACATTCGAATTATGATGGCGAGGAGGAGGAGGTGGGGGAATAATAATGTCCGGGTATCTCATGCATCGAGTGTAAATGGCCTGGCCACCTCGAGAGTCGACTCCCGGTCTCGAGAGTCGGCGGGGCAGGTGGCTCGAGTTCGAGCATAGCGAGTCTTCGCGCCTGCTCGTCTAGCCTCGCCCTGCCTATTCCTCGTCGTCTTCCTCCTGCTCCTGGTCCTCCACTTGTTCTTCTCATCCTCTTACTCCTCCTTCCCCCCACGTGGCTCTGACGCACGAGTGAAGCGCAGGCGCCCCGCTGACGTCGGGGGTGACGGCCTCAGAAATCGGGGGGCGCGTCGTCCAAAGCCGTCGCTCCCCCCGAGAAGTGGGAAACACGGGCCGGCGAGGAGGGCGATGAGGACGGCGTTCAGCAAGAAACGAGGAGGGATGAGGAGGAAGAGGTGGGAGGAGGAAGATGGCGAGGCGGAGGAGGAGGAGGAGGAGGAGGAGGAGGAGGAGGAGGAGGAGGAGGAGAAGGAGGAGCAGGACGACGAAAACAACGAGGAGGAACGCGAGGCGACGGAGGAGGAATGGGAGTCTCTTCGGTTTTGACCTCCCTGTCGTCGGTTCGGTTCGCACTCTGTTTGCCCCATCCACTTTTTCGCTGTGTCGAAGCCACCGTGCTGCTCAAATCCACGCAACGGAAGGGCAATGGACATCCTTTGTTCCATTGTGGTTTGCAACCGTTGACTTCGTGTCAGCTCGTTTTTTTCAGCACGAGAGGCCAAGATTCGGAGACATTCCCTGCGCATCCCCTGCGGTTCGCCGTGGCGTCGGGGATGCAACTGGGACGTGGTGGGAATGTAACGGGGATGTGGCGGGGATACATCGCGGTGGTATTAAAATGATGTTTTAGAGGCTGGTGCACCAGCTGCTGTTCGCAACATTGGGCATCATCACCAGGGAGGCGGGGCTTCGCCGCAGATCCGAAGAATCCGCGCGGACCTGCGACTGTTTATGTGGTGCCGTTTTTGGCCTTCTCTTTTTTTGTTTCTCTCTCTCTCTCTCTCTTTCTCTCTCTGACGGGATTCCTGAGTGCGCGCGCGGGTTCTTGCATCTCCCGGAGAATGCGCTTGTCTGAAGCGCGTGTTTTGTTTGCGGTTGTTCGTGTTTTGTGTTTGTTTTCTTTTCTGGCCAGGCCACCGCCCTCGCCCTCCCCCGAAGTAGGAGAAGTGCTTGCCATTCAGCTTTGGGCTCCTCCCTGCGACGGCGGGGGGGCAGGGGGAGGGAGTGGAGGGGGGGGGGGGGGGCGGATGGGCGGGGGAGAGAGGGGAGGGGGAGGGGGGAGGGAAGGGGTGGAGTAGGGGAATGCAGGGGGGGGGGGCAGCGAGGGTCGCAGAAATGGGGCCCCTGAGCGAACGAGGTGCCATGCGCCGGAGCGCGTAGGGCAACAACAAAAGAGCAGTGCCAGCCTAGACTCGCCGTTCTGCGGGAGCGGCTGCACGTCGACCGTCTTCAAATTTGCCGGTGCGTGCGGCTGGAGGTGGGCGCGAGGGACGGGGGGGGGGGGAGCGCGAGCCAGGAGGGCCTCGGAGGGACCTTGCAACAGGGGGCCTTCCAGTCCTGAGACGGGCACTATCCCCCCCCCCCTCCCCAGGGATCGCCCCCCCCCCCCCGATCGCGCAGTGGACGGGGGCACAGTGAACGGGGGCATCTGGAGAAGCCTAAGCCTCGGCCGTTCACGCAGCCCCGACGCTTCTCCCGCCGCATCGACCTCCGACCCTCCTCGCTCGGTCCTCGACCCTCTTCCTCGCTCGATCCTCCCCCTGCTCCTGTGGAGGGCCCTCCGCGGGCGTCCCTCCCGCGGAGGGGACCCCCCAGGCAGAGAGGGGACCCCCCGCCAGGGTCGAGGGTCGAGGCTCGTTCCGGGAGCCGTTTCCTTGGCGTCGCTCGGACATGTGCATTTTTCAAGTCGAGGTCTACGTTGTTCCCATCGTATTTACAAGACCACATCCCAGACATACTTTGAGCACCCAGAAAAGTATCGAAACGGTGTCGAACGAGTATCGCCTCCCAAGGGCAAACACCTGAAGACACTCCAGTTTCGGTGTTTTCTTGGTGCTCGAAATTCTTTCTGGTGATCTAGGCTAAAGTAGGTTGGAACGCCAAAAAGCATGTCCTTCTTCAGCAGGAAGATGCACACATAATCAAATCATACTATGGGGACGATGTTTCGGCTATGTTTGACTGTTTTTGATGTTGTTTGACAATTTTTCATCTTCTTCCGAAGTCCGCCTGCAGGAGGGCATGCCCGACCTGATCAGCTGGGGTCCGAGCAAATGGGGTCGGAAGATTGCGTTGCATCGCCGATGCATCGGCGATGCGGACCCCGATTTTCTCCCCACGCCGGCTGCGCCGATGCGCCCGAACGCCCCCGAAGCCGGGAGGAAAGCCTCCGTCCTGATGTGCCTCGCGGCGCGGCACGTCCGGGGGCAGACTTCACGGCCCGAGAAGGGCTTCCCCCGCCCCGGCCGCAGCGGGGGCGGAGCAGTCTCGCCGCGACGGGGGGTGGGCTTCTGGGGAGAACGCCTTACTCAGGAGGGAAAAACAACACACACAGACACAATATTAATCGTCGACTCCCAGGAAAAGATGGGAAACCATGGGAAGTGGGGGGGAAGACGAAAACCCAGAAACTATGGGAAAATATGGGGAATCCTTTTATTTGTGTGTATTTATTTGTGTGCCCCAGGGCCCCTTCATAGATCGCACCCCCAAGCCCTGCGTCCTGGCACCCCGCCCGGCAGGGAGGACCGCGGGTGCCGCCGTCGGGTGCGGGGTGCCAGTCTCTAGGCCTCCTGCAGGGGGGGCGCGTACCCAGAAGCCAGTTGGGTTCTGCCAGGGTGCCCTGGGTCTCTTGGATTTGGATGGGCTCCCAAGCAGGTCTTGACGATGTTCGATCGACACATTTGGATTTTCACTGAACAAATCGCGTATTTCAGGGTTGGGTTTCTTGCGGAGGTTTCTTGTGGCCGAGCCCCCATTGTAGATGGGATCGGAGTAGATGGCGTCGGAGGATCGCTCCGCATTGCCGCTGCATCGACGATGCGGATCGATGTGGAGCCCGATTCTCTCCACGCCGGTGTCGCCGATGCATCGCTGACGTTGCCGATGCATCGCCGATGCATCGCCGATGCGGCGCGATCCTCCGACCCCATCTACGCCGACCCCATCTAGCAGGCCTCTACACTTTGGACCCTTAAGATCCAGACATGCGACGTCTTGATGTTTGCAATGTTCGGTCCCCAACAGTCCCGACCCTTTCCCTGGGGCCGGTTTTTCGCCCTGCGTAGCTTTTTGACAGTCCCTTGGGCCCGGCGAGGGCCACCAGGAGCGAAAAATAGTAAAACATCTTGATATTTCTCCCCGACGCGCGGTCACGTCTGGGCTTGGATCTCGCGATCAGAGCCCTTGACCCCATCTTTCTGCACCACTTTTCGAGCCGGATCGATCTGCGAGTGTCCTGTGGCCCGAAGCCGGGCGAACCGGGCGACAACGTTCGGCTTGAAAAAATTGAGCCACCAGGATCTCAGGGATCATTCCCAGACCCCCGACGTCGTGTCTTTTCTGGTTGTTTCCCACCACGTCGACCCCCAGAGGTCTGGACCCCTTCCGCGGGACCGGGCGACCGGCTTGCATCCCGAGTCGTTTTTGATGTTCCCGGAGCCCGGTTGGCCAGGGGCCGAAAATAGTGACGAACTTCCCGTCGTGATTTTTTTTCGCAGCGCGAGGGGGTCTGGGTCCAAGTCCCTTCTCCGCCATCCACTCCATGATGGGCCTGTCTTCCGCCACCACCGCCATAAGTTGGAGGTGGGAAGGAGGTGGAGGAGGAGTAGGAGGAGGAGGAGGAGGAGGAGGAGGAGGAGGAGGAGGAGGAGGAGGAGGAGGAGGAGGAGGAGGAAGAGGGGGAGGTGGATGCGGTGGGAAACAAGCCCACCACTCCATGCTCGCCGGGCGGGGCCGGCTGGCCGGGCGGCGGCTGGGGCTCGGCCTCGCCGCTGGGGCTCTCCGCAGGGGAGCCTCGGGCCTGTGCAGAGCGCCCGGGGCTGCCGCGGCGGCGGCGCCCGCGGCTTGCGGCGCGCGCGGCATCTCGGGCAGTGCCGAGGGGGGTTTCGCCGCATAGCCCAGAAAACAGGAGGAGGAGAGGAGGAGGAGAGAGGAGGAGGAGGAGGAGGAGGAGGAGGAGGGAGAGGAGGGGAGGAGGAGGAGGGGAGGAAAGGAGAGGAGGTGGAGGAGAGAAGGGAAGGAAGGAGGAGGAGGAGGAGGAGGAGGAGGTGGAGGAGGAGGAGGAAAAGAAGGAGGTGGTGGTGGAGGTGGTGGTGGGGGTGGAGGAGGAGGAGGTGGTGGAGGATTGACTGGAGGAGCAGCACTGTCCGGAAGACCAGCTCAAGCCGTGGACACATGTCCGGACCCTATATGGGCCCTCAGAGTTTAGAAGACTGGCTCGAGCCGTGAAAAAAACACCGACGGAAGGTCTTTTCCACATTTTCGGAACCTGGGGGTCCTCACCAAGCCGAGGGCCGAGGAGGAGGAGGAGGACGAGGAGGAGGAGGAAGAGGAGGAGGGAGGACGAGAAGGAGGAGGAGGAGGAGGAGGAGGAGGAGGACGAGGAGGAGGAGGAGGAGGAGGAGGTGGAGGAGGAGGAGGAAAAGAAGGAGGTGGTGGTGGAGGTGGTGGTGGGGGTGGAGGAGGAGGAGGTGGTGGAGGATTGACTGGAGGAGCAGCACTGCCCGGAAGACCAGCTCAAGCCGTGGACACATCGGCGGAAGGCTTTTGGGACGTTTGCGGACCCCCCAGGCCCCCTCACGCGTTGTGAGAGTCACAACGGGATGTTTTTCACTCTTTTCCCTCCCTGGGGGCCCTCACCGGGCCCCGGGAGCGTCACAAAACGATTCAAGATGAAAAACCGGTCCCGGGGAAGGGGTCCAGAACTCTGGGGGTCGATTTTGCGAAAAAAGAGTCGGGGGTCTGGGCCTATGGGGGCCTTCACAGCCCAGAAGACGGGCTCGAGTCGTGGAAGCATCGGTGGAGGGTTTGGGGGACATGTCCGGACCCTATATGGGCCCTCAGAGTTTAGAAGGCTGGCTCGAGCCGTGAAAACACCGACGGAAGGTCTTTTCCACATTTTCGGACCCTGGGGGTCCTCACCAAGCCGAGGGCCGAGGAGGAGGAGGAGGAGGAGGAGGGGGAGGAGGAGGAAGAGGAGGAGGGAGGACGAGAAGGAGGAGGAGGAGGAGGTGGAGGAGGAGGTGGAGGAGGAAGAGATGTCCTTGCCCAGGTCCCCGCAGTACTCGAGTCGGGGGTCTCCAGGGGGAGGGGGTCACCAGCTCTCCTGGAAAGGCCAAGGCTCCCACTTCCTGGAGGAAGTGGCGCTCCTTCGAGGCTGTGGCGACCCCCCCGGTGGGACCCCCCCGAGCACTGCCCCAGCATCTCCGGGTCCCTCCTCGCAGGGGCGCGCCGCGAGCTGCCGGAGGTACCCCAGGCCATGCCGCGGAGGGGGGCCAGGTCCAGAGGACGGAGGGGCCCTCCCTGGAGCTGCTCGTCCTTTCTGTGGGGCCTTCCTGGACCCAGACCCCTCGAGTCATGGCAAAAATCATGACGTGGGTTTTGTTTCTACCCAGACCCCCTCGAGTCATGAGCAAGAATCATGGCGTGGGGCTTTTCTTTACCTTCGACCTCTGGGGGCCCTTCCCGAGCCTCGGGGCTGTTAAGGAAATGACTCAAGATGCAAAACGGGTCTTTGGGAGTGGGTCGAGACATTTGGGGGTCCAGGTTTAAGTCGGGCATGTTCCTTTACAGGAGGAATATTCGAAAATAGTCAAAGAATAGTCTGGGGACGATTTTTCTACCATCGGAGAATATTTTCAAGAATTTAGTTGACTATTTTTTATTGTTGACGCTTCGTGCATCCCTAATTACCAGCCCACGCCCAGAGGGCTGGTGGGCTCTTTCCTCCAAAAATGCACCTGTAGGAGTACATGCCCGACCCAAGCCCAGCCAGGCTGTGAAACAGATCATGGCCTCGGGGGTCTGGGCAGGCTCCTGGCCGCCCTGGCCCGTCGTCGCCGCGGCGCTGGCCACGCCGTCGCGGTCTGAATTTTTTACCGGGGCGCGATCCCGCGGTGGATTCCCAGATCTCCGACCATCGGACCTCTGTTCAGCTGCCGGCTGGGTCCGCTTCGGAGTACGGGTCAGGGCAGACCCGAGACGGGGTCCGGGGACCGATTCTGAGCGGATTTGGGCTCCGTGGGAGAGCCGCCGTTGTTGCCTCAACTGGCCGCCTGGCTTTCCTCCGAGTACGTACCGAAGGAGACAAGGCAGCGCAAGCGTGCACTTTCGAAGGCCCGCGCGGATTCATCGGATCTGTGGTGCCCCCTCCCCCCCAGGCGGAGCCTCGGCGCTGCCCCCTGGCGCGCTCCGCGTGCCAGGGGAAGGGGCGTCCAGCACCGACGCAGGAAAGAGCCGCGGGGGCCTCCACGGCGTGGCACATTAGGGATTAGGGAGCAGAAGCAGACGGCACATGCCGAGCGAGTTTGTGAGTCGGGAGCCAACCCAGATGGTCGTCGTCCTGATTTTTTCAGGACGGCGTCCCTGAAGTCCCGACCCCTTCCCCGGGGCCAGTTGTTCATCCTGAGTCGTTTTTTGGCGGTCCCGGAGCCCGGCGAGGGCCCTACGAGGCCGAAAACGGCCGAAAGCCGGCCGTCCAGATTTTTTCACGACGCGGTGCTGTCTGGGAACAGCAGGCGCTGCAAAGGCGGGAGCGTAAGTACCCCAGACTAGCCCATAAAAAAACAGCTTCCCCGGGCCACTCCGCCCGGCGGCCCGTGGCAGCTACCCCCCACGCTCGCCGAGCCCGCCACCTCCCGCGATGCAGCCCTCCCGCGCCCAGCGCCAGGCAGGCCCATTCTGCCCCTCCTCCTCCTCCTCCTCCTCCTCCTCCTCCTCCTCCTCCTCCTCCTCCTCCTCCTCCTCCTCCTCCTCCTCCTCCTCCCCCTTCTCCTCCACCACCTCCACCTCCACCTCCACCTCCTCCTCCACCTCCTCTTCCTCCTCCACCACCACCTCCACTTCCACCTCATCCTCCACCTCCCCCTCCTCCTCCTCCACCACCACCACCACCTCCCCCTCCTCCTCCTCCTCCTCCTCCTCCTTTTCCGTTGCCTCCTCCTCCTCCTCCTCCCCCTCCTCCTCCTCCTCCTTCTCCTCGGGGGGGGCGGGGCCCCCACGCCATCCCCCTCTCCACGACGATTGAGCAGCTCGGAGTGCTCGTCTGAAGGATGAATGGCCGAACTTGCAGACGGAACCTGCAGGCGAAAAGTGCACCTTCGTGCTGTTTTTTTTCTCGTTCGTGCCATAGAAGCCCTCGCCTGTCACACGGCGAGCCGCATCGAGGACGCCAAGTGCCTGCACCCCGCGTTCTACACCGACGAGGCGTACGCCGCCGCGGAGCGGGAGCGCATCTTCGGCACGCAGTGGTTCGCGGCGGCCCACGTCCAGGAGCTGTCGAGCCCCGGGGACGTGAAGCTCGTGGAGTTCGGGGAAACCTCCATTATCTAGTGGCCTTCGGCCCAGCCCGCTTCCTTCTGCCAGTGTGAGGACAGCACAACCCTCGGCGGCGAGCGAGGGGGGGAAGTGAGAAGGAGAAGGCCTTCTCAGAAGGCTCGGCTGTCCCCTGGCCTTCTGAGAAGTTTTCTGAGCCTTCTTCGAAGACAAAAACTTCTCAGGAGGCGCGAGGGCTTCGGAGAAGGCCCGCCGCCTTCTGAGAAGGCGTTCTCCCTCTCATGTCCCTCCCTCGCTCGCCACCGAAACCCACCACCACCACCACCACCACCACCACCACCACCAGCCAGAACCCCTACTCCCGACCTGGTGATCCAGGGGGTCTTGGCTGGGGGCGAGGGTGGCTTCTTGTCGGGTGTTGCTAGAAGTGCCCCTGGCCCAAGGTGCCCCCAGGATTTCCAAGGAGGCCCCCACGGCCTCCAGAGCACCCCTCACGAGGCCAAGAGGGCCCCAGGGGCTCCAAAATTGGGCGAAAAGCTGGGGGCACCTTGGGCCAGGGGCACCTTCAGCAACCCCCGATCTTGACCCCCAGGAGCTCCCCCACACCACTCCCATCCTGAGCCGGGACCCCCTGGTCCACCGGGTCGGGAGCGAGGGTCCTGGCTGGGGGTGGGGGTAGGTTGTGCTTCCCCCATAGTTGAGATCCGATCGCGTTCGCTTCCAGAACGAGGCTCGAGTCGGGCATGCTTGCCCCTCTACAGGAGGAGTCAGTCAAACAACATGTTGTTAAAAAAGTCTGGGGACGATGTTGTGACTATGTTCGACTTTGACCATTGTTGAAGACTTGTTGACCGCGTCGTAAAAGTCTCCTTCCGGAATCCGCCTGCAGGGAGCCTCGGACCCAGAGCGTGCTCGCGGCGTAACAGAGATCAGGACGGGCGGTATCTCGCTATCTTCGGCCCCTGGGGGCCCTCGCCGGGCCCCGGGAGCTTCAAAAAAACGATTCAGGATGAAAAACTGGCCCCGGGGAAAGGGTCGGGACTTCCGGGGGCGCTGGACTGAAAAAACATCAGGACGTCGCATGACTGGGAAGAAGAGAATACCCCGAGTTTCTTCATGAGCGTCGGGAGGGCGTCACCCCCGCCGACAGCCCCACATCGACCCCCGTCGCGGGCAGCCAGCGCGCGCCGAAGGCGCTCCAACCCCCGTCGCGGCGCGACGACGAGGCGATGTTGACCCGTCGGGGGGTACCCCCCCACGCTTACCAAGAACCCAGAGTATGGCATACACGTCAACTTGGACGGTCCGCGCGGACTTCTTGGATCCGCGCCTGGCCCCCCTGGCGGCGCCTCTGGCGCCGCCCCTGGCGCGCTCCGCGCGCCACGGCGGATGGTCCAGCGCAGGTCAACAAAAACCGCATGGATCCGTCGAAGGTTTATGCTTATGCAGTTCTCTTATTTGCTCTACTGCCTCTCGGAAGCCTCTGAGAGCCCGTTTTGGGGACATCGGGACATCGCGGGACACGTCCCAAGAAATCTGGCAGTTTGGGGCCTGGACTCTTTCACATCCAACCTGCAGGACTGAACGGAGGGCTCAAGGGTCCTCAGGACACTCCAACTCGCGCCTCGCGGCACGGTGGTGGATACTCACGTGCGACAAGACTCGAAGAAGAGACATCGACAGAAGCAGAACGTTCGGTGGTCCGCGCGGATTTCTCGGATCGGTGCTGGACGCCCTTCCTCTGCGCGTGGAGCGCGCCGGCGGCTGCGGAAGAGGCGCCGCTAGGGGGGTCCAGCGCAGGTCAGAGAAGTCCGCGCGCACCTCCGACAGTTTGTGCAGATGCCGATGGTCTTTCCTCGAAAGACAAACAAGATCCACGCGCTCTACAACACGTGCCGCCACCGGGGCGCTCGGGTCTGTTCGTCCAGCCAGAAGAAGTGCAAGCAGCTCGTGTGTCCCTATCACTGGTGGGCGTACCGTCTCGACGGCACGCTGAAGGCAACGCCCCCTGCTCACACCCCAAAAGAGCGCAAGGAGAACCTGGGGCTCCTGCCCGTTCCCGGCGTCGGGGTCTTCGCCGGCGTCGTCTTCCTGAACCAGGCGCCAAACCCTCCCCCGCTTCTGGACACGCTGGGCGACCTGCCAGAGAAGCTGAGCAATTACGACCTCGGCGACATGGGCCTCCACCGGGCCATTGATTACGACATCAAGGGCAATTGGAAGCTCATCGCCGAGAACTTCGTCGACTTCTACCACATCTCGAAGTAGAGAACACGGCGTACACATAAACTTTTGGCGCCCCGCGCGGATTTCTTGGATCCGCGCTGGGACCCCCTCCCTGGCGCACGGAGCGCGCCAGGGGCGGCGCCGGAGGCGCCGCCAGGGGTGTCCCAGCGCGTATCCAAGAAATCCGCGCGGAGCGCCAAAAGTTTATGCTTATGCCATGTTGTCTTCCTCTAACATCGACGCCGTGCACCCGGCGCTGGCGAACTTCTCCAGGGTGGAGGACCACATGAGCTACCAGGGCAGAGGCCAGTACGTCGGCCTCTGCACGGCGCCCCTGACGGACTGCGGTGGCCCTGGAGACTCGCACCTGTTCAACCACTTCCCCCGCCTGCGGAAGGCGGAGTCCTCCGCGGGCCTCTTCTCGGAGAGCAGAAAGCAACCATGGCGTGCACTTCCGGAGCTCCGCGCGGATTCCCTGGATCGGCGCTGGGCCTGGCGCGCCAGGGGCGGCGCCGGGGGCGCCACCAGGGGGGGGCCCCAGGGCCGATCGAAGACTGCCGCGGGGAGCTCCGCAAGTGCATGTGCGTGTGGCTGTTTGTTCTTCGGTGTTCTTTCAGGTGTTTCCCAACATCAGCTTGGTCATCTACCCGCACTCCGTCTTCAGCCTGATCTGCTTCCCTGGCGCGGTGGCCGGAGAGACGAAGGAGCAGCTGACCCTCCTCATGGCGCCCAACGCCAGGAAGGAGGAGGACACGCCAGACTTGGAGCTGGCTGGGCGTCTGAGGTGGCCCAGCACTGGCTGAGGAGGAGGAGGAGTAGGAGGAGTAGGAGGAGGAGGAGGAGCAGGAGGAGGAGGAGGAGGAGGAGGAGGAGGAGGAGGAGCAGGAGGAGGAGGAGGAGCAGGAGGAGGAGGGAGGGAGGAGGGAGGGAGGGAGGGTGGGCAGGGACGGGGTTCTGGGTTCGGGGGGAAGTTGTTTGCCTTTTCGGCCTCCACGGGTCGTTTTCGGGCCCTGGGGCCGTGAAGACGGATCCGGTGTGGAAGCTGGACCAGATGGGCCCTTGGAGGGGTCCAGGGATCTATTCGGAGCGGATTCGGCTTCATCCCCCCCAGCCGCCTGACCGATTTTCCTGGGGTCCCAACCAGTTCAGACTCCCTTGTCGCCTCCAACGCCAGACCAGTACGCGCAGAAGTGCGAGGACCTCTGGAGGTTTGTCCGCCACGTGAACGAGGAGGACATCGGGGCCATCGAGAACCTCCAGCGCGGGCTGGTCCAGGCGGGGCGGGCAGACGTGCTGGGGGAGTTCCTCCCCGAGTTCGACTGGCCCGTCCACCGCTTCCAAAACATGTCGAGGAAGAAAGCCTCGCGCAAGCATATATGTTCGGAGCCCCGCGCGGAGTGGACCGGCGCTGGGCCCCTCCAGCAGCGGCTCCTCCAGCGCCGCCCCTGGTGCGCTCTGCGCGCCGGGGAGGGAGGTCCGCCACGCTGGCCTCAGACACCCGCGCGGAGCTCCGAAAGTATAGATTCATGCGTCTTTTTCTTCCCCTAGCATGGTCCTCTCTGGGCTGCGCGGAGACCAGCTGAACGAGCGCAACATTCGAAAAAGAAAGCACGCCATAAGCATACACTTTTGGCGCTCCGCGCGGATTTCTTGGATCCGCGCTGGGCCCCCCCGGCTGCGCCTCCGGGGCCGCCCCTGGCGCGCTCCGCGCGCCAGGGAGGGGGGCCCAGAGCAGATCCAAGAGATTTGCGCGGAGCGCCAAAAGTTTATGCGTATGCTACTTTTCTTCATCTAGCATGCCAGAGTACAGCAGCACGTTTACCCTCCAGATGCAGGCCGGCACGGCCTGACGCCGAGGCAGCGCTCGTCATGGGGCGCGCCTCTCCCTCCCCGCTTTTCGTTCCCAGATCTTTGCGTGGCCTGCTGATGTTCGTCAGCAGATTCGGCTCGAGGCCGCCACAGCGAGACATCTTTGCTCAGTGGAGGACAAGGAGCCGACGCCGCTATTTTCCCCATCCTCGGCGCCATGGCTGCGTTCGCCTCGAGATCCTGGACAGAACGCAGCGCAGGAGAGAGCCGTGTAGTGGCGGTATCGGTGGCTTTTTCCATTCTCCCACGTGCACTCCAGAATCCGGGGAACAAGCAATGACATAGACATAAAACTCGGAGGTCCGCGCGGACTCCTCGTTTCGACGCTGGGGCTCACTGGCGGCGCCTCCGACGCCGCCCCGAAATCCGCGCGGAACCCAAAAAGTCACCGACACCGCTACCCCCTCTGTACCTCTCCTGGGCCCTGACCAGAATTGCGAGGCGAGCCCAGCGGTGGCGACGGGGGCCTATCAGGAGGCCCCAAAAGGTGAAGACGAGGGCAGGCTGGCGGTATGGGTACCTTCTCCTCCTCCCCGAATTGTTTGTTCCCCTACGCATGAATCCGAATGCGATTAGATCGAAGAAGTAAAAACGCCATAGACATAAACTTTTGGCTCTCCGCGCGGATTTCTTGGATCCGCGCTGGCCCCCCTGGCTGCGCCTCGCAAACGTTCGGAAACCTCACGGTCGCATCGACGTAAAACATCGTATATCCCCCGCGGCGGATCCAGGCCATTTGCATTTCCAAGTAGGAACCTTGCGAGTTGTGGAACGCGCTCGTCTAAGGAAGGGGGTCCAGCGCAGATCCAAGAAATCCGCGCGGAGCGCCACAAGTTTATGTTGATGCTGTTTTTCTTGTTCCACTAGAGCCTGCCCTGGCACACACAGCGCTAGGGCTGCCCTGATGCAGTTCTTCCTGGAGACGCGGCCTCGGCGCCGCCGGAGAGACCCCACAGCGCGAGCGCGAGCCCACCTGGGAAGGCCTCGGGCTGCGCGCCGACGGGCGCCCCCCCGCCGGTTGGCAGTCCTGGCTGGCCTCAAGAGCCCCCCCGAGCAGCCCCAGCTCTGGGGAGCAACGGTACGCTTCTTCCGTCTTCCCCTTTTCTCGGAGGTGGATCGACCTCCTACCCTGACACGTCGATTAAGGACTTGGCCGTTTTCGGTTCGCGAGAGGGCGTCGCGGCCGTCATTTTTACGGGTCTGGGTTCGTCGGTTTCAGTCCCAAGCCGTTTTCACTAAGGGGAGCTTTACTAAAGGGAGGTTTGTCCACCGCCGGTTTTCTGGGCTTCCTGGGAGGCCCTCGCCGCCGCCGCTGGGCTCGCCTCGCAATTCAGAACGCACCCCCGAAGAGGTCCGGGGAGTAGCGGTATCGGTACCTCTTGGTTTCCCTATCGGCACCCCTGGGCCGCCTCTGGCGGCGCCCCCGGGGGCGCTCCGCGCCTCAGGGGCTTGAGGTGTTGAGACCGCCCCGGCACTGCCCGTGGGGCCTGTTGAGGTCAGCTGGGGCTGCTCCCGGGGGCCTGGGAGGAGGAGGAGAAGGAGGAGGAGGAGGGGGAGGAGGAGGGGTACGAGGAGGAGGAGGAGGAGGAGGAGGGGGAGGAGGAGGGGTACAAGAAGGAGGAGGAGGAAGAGGAGGAGGAGGAGGAGGAGGAGGAGGAGGAGGAGGAGGAGGAGGAGGAGGAGGAGGGGGAGGCGGTCAGCTGGGACTGCTCTGGGGGCCTGTTGAGGGCCGTCGGGTCCGTCTGTGCGCAGCCTAAAGCCTTACCAGGCCCACTGCTGGCCGACAGATCTCCATCTGCCGTCTTCTAATCGTCGTCCTCGTCGTCCTTACCCTCGCCACCGTTTCCGTCGTCGTCGTGGTCGTGATCGTGGTCGTGGTCGTGGTCGTGGTCGTGGTGGTGGTGGTAGTCGTCGTCGTCGTCCTCGTCGTCGTCGTCGTCGCGGTCCGCGTCGTCGCCCTCGTCGTCGTGCTCGTCCTCGTGCTCGACCTCGTTCTAGTCGCCTTCGTCGGCGGCGCCGTCGTCCTCGTCGTCCTCGTCCTCGTCGTCGTCGTAGTGGTCGCCGTCATAGTCGTCATGGTCATGGTCATGGTCGTGGTCATGGTCATCTTCATGGTCGTGGTCGTCGCCGTCGCCGTCGCCGTCGCCGTCGCCGTCGACGTCGCCGTCGCCGTCGCCGTTGCCGTCGTCGTCGCCGTTGCCGTCGTCGTCGTCGTCGTCGTCGTCGTCGTCGTCGTCGTCGTGTTCGTCCTCGTCCTCGTCCTCGTCCTCGTCGTCGTCTTCCTCGTCGTCGTCGTCGTCGTCGTCGTCGTCGTCGTCGTCGTCGTCCTCGTCGTCGTCGCGGTCCGCGTCCTCGTCGTCGCGCTCGCCGGCCCTCCTCCCCCGAGGTGATGCCGAGCTACGTGGAGGTGGGCTGCTTCGAGCTGGCGCCCCTCGACCCGGGCGCTGCCGACGTGTGCGCGCAGGAGGACGCGTCCGGCCTGCGACCGCGGGCCGCCCTCGCCGTGCAGCCGGCCCCCCTCCGAGATGCTTCGGAGGGATCGGACGGATCGGGGGGATCGGGGACCCGGGGGCCCGAAGGCTTGCGGAAGGCAGCCGGGCGCGCCGGAGGCGCCAGGCGAGCTGTAGCGGTGGTCCCCGCCTTGATCCCTCCACCCTCTTCCCACCCCCCCCCCCCTTGCCTCGGGGGCGACCTCTGCGTCTGCGACGGAGGGCGCGCATTGGGCCGAGGCGCCCCGCCCGCCCCGCCTGCTGCGGATGCAGGCCGCGCCCGTGCCCACTGCGTCAACCCTCCCCTTTCCCCGCCCTCCCTCCGCCCCCCCCCACCTCCCCACCCGTCGTTTTTGCCCCCCTCGCACCCCGCCACGAATCTTGCGGTCGCAGGGTCGAGTCTGCAGTAAACGCCTCGAGCGAAACGCCGAAGCCAGCCACCGGCACACTCAAAAGGGTTATTACCTTTGAGGGCGCGCGCAGAGGCGCGCTCACGAGCCGGGCTGCGGGCGCGCTTGCAGGAGGGCGCTCGCGCGGGCGTTTCTCTTACCAGCCTGGAGCATAACTATCCCTATCCCTAAGCTGGGCATCGCCTCATCACAATGCCAATCTTAGGGACTCCCTTATTTTTTGAGGGCGCATCCCTAAGATTGCCACCGCCGTTTGGCGTGTCAATCTTAGGGACAGGAATAAGTTCGAGGCTGGTAATTCTCGGGCGCAGGGCGGAGCACCTTGCCATGCGACGCTGCGCGCTGCATCGGCGTGTGGCGCGCCTGGATCCCAGGGGCGTGCTCCGGGCGCCGTGCGCGGCCGCCTGCAGTGGGGCGCGCGTGCGCTACGAGGGCGAGCCCGCGGGCGATCCCCACCGGTGCCCCTCTTAATGTTCGCTGTTTGTTGTTTTTGTTTATTTTGCTTGTTTGCTTGTTTTTTTGTGTTGTTTGTTTATCATGTGTTTGCTGTTGTTGTTGTTGTTGAACATTATTAATTCTAAAGAATAATTATTGTTGGGCCCCCTGGTGCACGCCCCCCCCCCCGCGCCTAGGCCGCAGCCACATTTTCATAATTTTCGTGAGGAAGTCTCAGGTAAAACGATGTCATCCAGATGCGGTTGTTTTGTTGACGCCCGCTTTCCCTGTCAAAAAACACTATAAAATGACATGTCTTGTTCTAACATAACCAAACTTCAAGAATCCTGTGCAACAAATGACACGAAGTGCACACTCGCGCGCGCAAGATGAAATCCTTCCAAAACCTTAGTTTTCGTAGCGATTTTAACATAAAAACATGAAAAACCCAATGGTTTTTCAAAACAAAAGTTTCAAAACATCATCTTGCGCGCTCTTGCGGATTTCTGAGGAAACCCAATATTTTTTCAACATTTCTGTCAAACGGGCTCTTGCGAGCAACTTTTTCACGTGCTTCGAACTTCTGCAACAACGGTTGCGCGCACGCCAGGGCCATCATCCCTGTCAAATAATACCATATTCGACACATTCGTTTTTTCTTCGCGCGCGCACGCCGTCGTCGTCGGCCGCGGGGCCCTGAATAGTAGCCACGGTCGTCCGCATGCCACGAAGTGAAGTGTCCGAACGTCATAGGGCGGGAAGCTGGGTGTGGGTGGTGGCGAAGAGTCGTATGGAAATTTGGTAGAGCTTGAACCGGCCCCCCCACAAAGTGGGGTATTGCCCGCCTCCTATGAAAACCCTGGCACTGGTGAGAACGGAGTGTCCCCAGTCTTTAATGATTGTTGTTGTTGTTGTTGTTGTTGTTGTTGTTGTTGTTGTTGTTGAACATTATTACTTCTAAAGAATAATTATTGTTGGGACCCCTGGTGCGCGACCCCCCCGCCGCGCCTAGGCCGCAGCCTCATTTTCATCATTTTCGTGAGGAAGTCTCAGGCAAAACGATTGGTACCGGATCCGGTTGTTTTGTTGTAATCCGTTTTCCCTTGCAAAAAACACTATAAAATGAAAATTCTTGTTCTTACTTGATCAAATTGCAAGAATCCCTTGCAAAAAATAAGGTAAAGTGGACATTCGGGCGCGCAAGACGAAATCCTTCCAAAACCTTAGGTTTCGTAACGATTTTAACATAAAAACATCAAAAACCCAATGGTTTTTTAAGAAAAAAATGTCAAAATGTCCTTCCGCGCGCGCTGTCCGAATCCTACAAAACCAATGGTTTTTCAACATTTATGTTACATGAGCTCGCGCGAGCTACTTTTTCTTGTTCTAACATAATCAATTTTCAATAATTATCATTCAATTTCAATTATAATATTTTTATAATTTTATTATTATTATATTTATATATATATTATAATTCAATTATTATATATTTTGATTTGATATATATTAATCCCTTGCAAAAAATTTTAAAAAGGTAAAGTGGACATTCTCGCGCCGCAAGACGAAATCCTTCCGAACCTTAGGTGTTCGTACGGATTTTCAACAAGGAGACGGACGTGTAAAAGAAAGATAAAAAACATCAAAAAGCCAATGGTTTTTCAAAAAAATATGTCCAAATTTCATCCCGCGCGCGCTGTCCGACTCCCACAAAACCAATGGTTTTTCAACATTTATGTTACATAAGCTCGCGCGAGCTACTTTTTCTTGTTCTTACATAATCAAATTTCAACATCCCTTGCAAAAAAAAGTAAAGTGGACATTCGCGCGCGCAAGACCAACAAAAAACACGACGATCTCAGGAACTTGCCCAAAAATGTGACCAACTCCGCTCTCTCTGTCTCTCTCTCTGTCTGCTCTCTGTCTCTCTCTCTGTCTGTCTGTGTCATGTTTGTATGTCACAATTGCAGGATGCTGGGCACACGCGCGCCCCGAATAAGTGACCAAGTTCTGTGGGTGTGTACCCCACGCCAGTGTAGTAGCCACGGTCGTCCGCACGCCACGAAGTGAAGTGTCCCAACGTCATAGGGCGGGAAGCTGGGGTTGGGTGGTCGCGAAGAGTCGTTTGGATATTTGGTAGAGCTTGAACTGCCCCCCCACGAAGTGGGGGTATTGTCTCGCGTCGCATGAAAACCCTGGCACTGGTGAGAACACTGAGCGTTCGGGTAAAATGATTGTTGTTGTTGTTGTTGTTGTTGTTGTTGTTGAACCTTAATTACTAAACAATTATTATTGTTGGACCCCGTATATTCGCCCTGCCGTTCTCGCCGAGGCGCCGGCCGCATTTCCTCCGAAATTGAGGCTCACGCTCAGGCGTTTTGGGGTTCCGCCAAAACCGGCCCCCCAACAACAACAACGCTCCGGCTCGAGACTTCCTCCTTTTTTACTCGGGCTCGGTGCTCTTGCTCGCCGCCGAGAGCGGCTCCCGGGCTGGACGCCCGGGTCGGCGCCCGAACCGGCGCCCGCGCGCCGGAAAATCGAGTTCCGAGGCGGCGCCGAAAAAAGGCCATTCCAAAACACATTTTTCTTTCGAAAATGCTGAATTTCTGCTTCTGGCGCCCGGGAGGGAGGCC